ACTATTCCTGACTATTTACAATTTAATTTTGCTTCTGAAACTCCCCCTTATCCCATTGATATGAACTGGAAAAAACTGTTTTTGAATAACGTCGGCAAAAACAAATACAAACATGCATTCAGATTATTTTGTAAGAAAATAAAGTGTCTTAAGGTATGTTAAATTTTTTCTTTGTATAATTATAGTAAATACCAAAACAGTATAAATATTAACATTAAATCTTTAGAAACATATTTATTCATATTGTCACTGCAATTTACGTTGCGTTTTAGAATTTTGAAATTTTTCACTTATGCGCCTCTTTCACTTATGCGCTTTTTTCTCTTGGCCCCTTACACCGGTGCATAAGTGAGAGTTCACTGTAAAATATTTAGATTACTACTCATATCTAATATTACCAAAATATTTAATCATAACATTGAGAAAGAAAAATATGAGAGAGAAAAAAAAATATCTACAGTCAATCCTTTCCATTTGTCACACTTTTCTTTTGACCTTCATCTATTTTTCGTTGAATCGCGCACATTCATCACTTTTGTTTTTACAACTTGAGTAGTAAGAGTTGTAGGATCACTCGGTGTCGAATCACTACCATGGATGATGTTTCTTTCAACATAGAGGCACTATGGAATTGTAGGGTCATCGGATGGGATACTTTTACTGGTTTCAGGGAACAATCTCCAGCCAACGTTTCTTCTGAAAACGGCGAGAGAAAATCGTCCTTCCTTCCATATACATCAGCATTTCAGGCGCGACGAGGTACAAGTAGTACGGCTGGAAAATTGCCCTTCCTTCCTTCAACGTTTTTTTTTCACTGCCGATTTTTTTCTCCTCCGGGGGTGATGGAATTGGGAAAATTTCCACGAAGCAGTCAGCCTCCGTTACGCTTAGTTCCAGAGATGGAAAATCTTAAGTTTCCTCCAAAGGTTTCCTCAGCAAGCAACTATGCTGCCGACTTGTAATAACAGGGCTACAACCCTGTTATCAGTGTTGTATTTAGCTTGAAATAATTGCAGTCTTATGTCATCATACGTTCTAAACAGGTTTATTTAAAGGTAGGCTGGCATTGATAACAGTTCACGTCCCCACTCCTGCAAAGGAGGGGGAGTGGACAAGACTCCGGACAATTCCGGAACAGCTTATCAGGATCACATCATGATGAAAAGGACACGCAAAACTAGTGTTCTTGCGTTTTATACCAACACAGATTTGAGGTAAAAAGGTACACTTCGTACATTCCTTGTAACCTTACTCATTAAGGCAAATCATTTACTGCTTCCTAATATGGAAGTGAAAGAGAGAAAGATTCTAAAAATAACTCTTCCTTTGAAATATAAATCTATTTATATTTCAATGGTATGTTTTCAGCCTGGAATTCCCAAAATAGAATCTCTGTACGCTTATTCTTTAACAAAGACATTTTATGAAAACGAAAGAGTTTTAATTCTTTTATTAATACAAAAGTATTTAATTTTTGTATTACATATATATATTAACTGAAATTAATTACTCACTTCAACTCCCCAAATACAGGCACTATGGTAGAGAAAGGAATGTGATTTTCCGATTTTCTTGATATCTTTAACATCCCAAACATATAAACTGTGGTCATTATGCACACATGTTACCTATAAAAATGAAACATCACAATGTATGATTGTTTTTCTATATGAACAATTGAATAAATTTATAAGAAATAGCTGTTATACCTTTTTGTTCATTTCGTCAAATGTGACAGCAATGACATCTGGGTACTTGGAACCAGCTGGGTGACTCGATACTTGTCTGCAACAACACACAATACAATTAACAGAATCTATAAGAAAATGTATATTGTGCCGCCTGAGCAGCTAAAATACATTCATCTTTAAAAAGAAAAAGATCAGGGGTAAAACGAAAAAAAAGGGGGAAAAAAAGAAACAAACACATTTCTTAAACTACTTGAGAGTTAGCGCAGGCTCGGTTTTGTCAAAAATAAGAAAATTTTATTTGAGTTTTACCTCTATAGAGATAGACTACAAGTTCTTCAATGATAGATATAGTATAATCACCTGCAATTGGCTGAAAATGAACTTGTTAAACCGCGAAAATTTGAACTTAACAAAATCGTTAATATAATTTGTTTTATATAGAGTTTTTACTAGGAGAAAGAAAATATTTTGCTTTATTTGGCGGTTAGCCACGATAAACTCGGAAAAGATAGCATTTAAATAGGATAGACTTATTACTAGTGCCTCCTTTAAAATATTTTCAATTATTTTTTATTTGCTACAATTCATATAAAAGTGAATTGCTTCATCAAATTTATGTAAAAGTCAGTAAAATTCTTTTTCATAATAGTCAATACTGTATAAACAAATTTTTTAAGCAGACTACCAGTTTTTTTTAGTTTTTACATAGGTCTAATTTTTTACAAAATAGCGCAGGTAGCAATTAACCCCCTTAATCCTACATAATAATTCTTATACTTTATATTTTGCCTAAAACCATCAAGCACTGTAAATGAACAGTATTTATATTGGCAGTATTTTCAACTTTGCCAATAACATATAAAATTTTTTTTTTTTATTTTGCGTAAAAAATAATGTTTTTTCTTAAAAGAATAAATCACTAAACATAAAATATTTCAGCAAATAATTCTGTCAGTATAATCTTTTTATCTTTTTTAATCAAACATTATATTAGTTATTAATAGTAGAAAATTTATTAAAAACTTAACTAAAAATGAAAATAATTAATTTTCGCATGATGTTTGGAATACTTAAAAACATGGAGAAAAAAAAACATGGTTAAAAAAATTAACTTCAAAAGCGAATTTTGGTTCAACTTTCTAAGGAAGCAAAACTTATTTCAACTAACTAACTAAACATTCGCCGAACAGACTACCGATTTCTGACAGTTTTGTGAATTTGAGACGCAATTGTCACTGTGGAAGAACGAAATTGCCGATTTTGTGAATGTCATCATTTACATAGTCTCTTTGGTGAATGTCCAAAATAAATGCTAGATCTGATTTTATATTAATTTATCCACCAATATTTAAATATTTATTCGATATTCTAATTTCTGACTAAGTTAGATTGCGAAAAACATCAGTGTTTTGAATACAGTGCAGGTGTAGGGATAATAACTGGTATTCTCTATCCTAATGTTTTTTAAGGTATTCCATACCTTAAAATTTTTTATTTAAAGTTAAGGGCCATTGCCCGGTATTCCATACACTGCTCTTGATGTTTTGTGCCATTGCTCCCAACTCCCTGCATCGAACTTTTTCCTAATGAATCCGAATCGGAACAATATGGAATAAATATTATTCAACCAATTAATATCAAATGAAACATAACAAATGTTTCAGATATTCACCAGAGCGACTATGTGATTTTTGACATTCGGTGAACATCGACATTCATCGGTGAAAATCGATATTTTCTTGATTATTATCAGTGCTTTAAAATTTTTCCAATATTGAAAACGTGAATTATAATAGTTTTCATATTGTGGCTGGGTGTCGCGGTTGGTTTGTCGTCGGCCTACTGAGCCCAAGTCTGCGGGTTCGATCCCCGGCCAGTCACCGGATTTTCGGGTTGCAGAAAATCCTCAGCGGCCATGTCGTATGATTATGCGGCATGTAAAAGATCCCTGGAGTGCCTCTTTTCAGTTTTNGGTGCTGCCATCTAGTGTGGCAGAAACTAGACGTCCAAATTAACATAACCAACGGTATCTCACCCATTGTCGTGGTCCTGAAAAAGTGGATACCACCTCTGGAGAACGCACTAGGTCTGCTCATCGGCAAGACCGATTGTGCAGCTCATTGGAAATAAAAATAAATAAATAAATAAAAGAAAAATAGTTTTCATATTTTATTAAAAGTATTAGAGATTTTCATCATGTTATTTTTTTAAAAAATAATTAAAGGAATTCTAAAATAAACATCATGTGTTTAATTCGTAATCTCTGAGTCGAATGTGAAGGTATAATGTAACACTGATTTAAGTTTAGTTATCATGTGTTAAAGAGTTCTTAGGCATATTTAATAAACAAATTTTTAAAAAAATATTTTTTTATTCAATTAATCTGAATTTCAAATTCAGAAGAAAAAAAAAAGACTTTCTGAATATTCTTTAAAAACGAAGGAAACAAATGAAAAACGAAAATTAATTTCGAAATAGAAACCGTGTGAGTGAAAACTGGATCAATGATACCAAGAGGATGAAAAAGTGTTTCGTGATATTTTAATCGAGACAAATTCCCAAGACTTGAATTCATATCTAGGGTAATGGGTTGAAAGAATAGCAGTTCGTAAAAAGTACATGAAAACCAAAAAGAGTTCAAAAGCTGTTTAGATGGGTATCACCTAACACTGCCAATTCTGCACTCGTGATAGTTTTTGTTCGTAATGTATTCCTTCAGCGAAAATGAATGGTTGTAAAAGTTTTGGAGGCACGGGATGAAAGGTAACAGTAGAATGTTAAAAAGAAATATTCCATTCATCGACATTCACTCATCTGTGAAGAATGTTCTTTTTTTGATTCTGATATTTATTTTTTGCAGAATGATAACAAGGTATTGAAGAATATTACAAGCATGTTAAATAGAAAGTAGGAAAGTTGTGAAGGAAAGATGAATCTGTGACGATGACGATTTGTATTCAAAATATGTCCTCTGAAAAACAATCTTCTTTGCGACATTTTTATTTTGAAAAAAAAATTGGAAACAATAGAATTCATTCGCATACAACGATGTAATGTTATTATTTTTGACCGATAAGCATTTTTTAATGTCATCGCATTTTTCTTTTTAAAATTTAAAACTTAATAAGAGGAAAGTTGCTTAAATCGCATCGCTTTAGAGTGACTTTGAATTTGTATCGGACACAAATCATTCGCAATTTCGTTTTTTTATATATATATTCTTTTGTTTACATTTATTTATTTATTTTTAATAAGCGTCGTTGAACAGCCGACCCAATTTTGAGTTTTCGTATACCAATATTCAATTCCATAACCTTGTAAATTAGAACCCAATCCAGAAGACAAGGGAACTCCTGGATCAAGTTTGGGTGAAATTCGCCTTCGTGGAGGACTTTTTCATGGAACTAACCCTCATTTGTGTTGAATGGAGAGGAAAACCACGAGAACCTCCAAAGGTTAGCGTGACAGCAAGGGGACTCTAACCCGTGATCCGTTTACCACTGAGTATGCTTTACATCAGCACTGTTGTCGGTGAGAGTCGGGTGCGGAATTCGTATCGACTAGTCCTCGCTGGGATTCGAGCCCGTGTAACCTCGGGCGTGCGCTTTATCTCCTGAGCCACTACAGCTCTCGCAATTGCATTTGAAATATTTTAATCGTGAATATATAACTATTTACATTTCTATAACAACAATTGTATAATAAGTAATAAAAATTAATAAATCTCACGAGGACTACAAGGGGTACTATATAGTCAACTGGTTGTTCAATTTGTACCACCTACACCCTTAATCGTACCGACCTAGAAAACACTGAGTAATTTTCATTAACACGCTGAACGCCACGCTAAATTAAAATTGCTATAAACTAAATTGGCAAATATAGACAGATTTTGTTAGTTTATAAAAAGTTTAGCTTAACATATCTGAAACAGAAGCGGTGAGTTATATATGCCTACGAATTGTTTAAACGTAGTGGTGGATAAAAATCTACTAAATTGAATTTATTAAACTAAGAATCACAATAACATACATGCCAACTCTTCCGGATTTTCCGGAAGATTCTATTTTCATATTTAAAGTGGTAGTAAATATAGAACTATTTTTTCCTTTATAAACTTAATTTTTTAATGATTTTAATCACCACTATTCTTACAAAAATTAAGCAGATATATTAATATGCGTTACCATAATGGATGTCAACTTAAGTTTTCTCAAATACAACTTATTTGCTTGCTTAAAATTGAAGTTTTAAAGCCATTTCAATACCACTGGGAAAAATGATAATGGAAGGGATTAAAAGTTGGCAGGTATGCAATAATTAAGTAAATTTTGAATAAATTTTCTGCAATTCCATAAAAGAGTGTAAATTTTATAGCTCTATATAATGTTATACGGTGTCAGCCAGCTGTTTTTCGCTGCTTATGTGAAAGGTCAGTGTCAGCAAGCGGTGTCAGACGCAGCCTGAATGTAATTTCAGTGTCAGCCACCGGTGGCTGACGCGGAGCTCAACGTGTTAAGTGAATAAGTAGATAGTGGTACTCTGCATGAGTAGATAGCGATAGTGGTGTGGAAAATAAGTTTAAATGAATAAAAAATAATACATTAAAACACAAACTTAGATACCACTGGAATAAATTTTTACAAAAAGCGTAGAGAGTTGGCACCCCTGCAGATGTACCTACTTAGTACTGCTGGATACTTTCGTTATAACTTTGAACATGTAAGTACATGATCTTTCGAGTCATAAATGCTGGTTTTAAAAACTAGGACATCACCAATGAATTAAAGGGTAAATTTCCTATCACTTTCTTTTATAAAAGATCTTTGTCCGTTATTGCAACGGAGGCGTAAACATGGGAGGACAAAACTATCCGTAACTAAAAGTTATCATGTACTCATACTCATATGTGATGGTTATCTTAGCATCAGCCCCGCTAGGGGCTCCAACTAATTCACCTGAGTGGAAATAAATAATAAATCGCCGGAGCGCAACTGAAAGGTGAAAGTTGGGGTTCAGTATCTTTTACTGAGAGAAAATTCAAATGAAGTAGTGAGATTGAACAAACAAGTTTGAGAGAGAGAAGAGGTTTTGTGGCAGACTGCCTCGCCACCCTTCGAGGTATTACCCCCGAGCTTCTCAGGTGTACATAGCCTCAGAGAAAAGGAGAAATACATAATAAATGCGCAAAATTATTTACAAGTATTTACAGCTATTTACAAAATTTACGGAACAAAATCCCGTCGGATAGGAAAAAGGCGTTTGCCGGGCTATATTTTATGTTGTCTTTGATGAGCTCAAAATCAAAATTTTTAAAGTAATTGCAAGTATGACAAGAGAGTGCATCTCTGAAGAAACTTGCACATAGTTCAGCTATGTGCTCATCTATTTTGTTGATTTTTAACTCTCGTCTTAGATCTTTCATTCTCATGGATCTGGGGGCTCCTGTGATATATATGAGGAATTTATTTTGAGTAATCTCCAGTTTCTTTTTTTGACTAACAGTGGTTGTGCTCCATGCAGGGGCTGCGTAGCTGATGATCGGTCGAATACATTGGAGGTATAGGGTTCGTTTTGTTTTGAGAGATAGTTTTGAATTATAGTTTAATATTGGTTTCAGAGATCTATAGGCTCCTTGCGCTTTGCTAATAATATTTTCAATATGGGTATTCCAGTTTAAAGAACTAGTAAGAGTGACGCCTAGGTAGGTGGCCTTTCGAACTAGTGGTATTTCATCATTGAAAAGAGTAATATTTGGATAAATGACTTTCTTTTTACTTGATTTCCTAATAATTAGTAGTGAAGATTTAGTGGTGTTGATGGCTACCTTCCATTTTGTGCACCAGTCTTCGATATGAGGTATGATATTACTGAGATTAGTAACTGACTTCTTGGGATTTGTTGGTCTGCTCATAAGTGCTGTATCATCTGCGTAGAAGGCTGAGGTGATGTTTCCCATATTATTAAAATTTGGAAAGTCTGCTGAATAAATTAGGTAGAGCACAGGGCCGAGAATTGAACCTTGCGGAACTCCTGCTTTAATGCTTCTAGCGGAAAAAATGCTGTATTGATCTTAATATGAAAAGTTCTGCTTGTCAGATAATTATTAATTAGTAGTATTAGATCTTTGGGGATATTGAAATTTATGAGCTTGTATATGAGGCCCTGATGCCAGACTCGGTCAAAGGCAAGTTATCATGTTATCAATCACTGGTGAATAACGTGCGCTGATTACTAAGCAATTGTGGTAGTAGCGGATAGTTTATTTATTTTTAAGTGAAAATAAAATCCTATCTGATGTTTTTACTACAGGTTTTTTAAATATGTCAGCCCAAATACCTTACCTTCCAGTGAGACCTTTAGCAACATCCACGCCTAAGTAGTGAATTCTTGGCAATGTACAAATGAAATGAAGATCAACTGGACTAAAGCACCTCACAATACCGTCAGAACAGCCAATGAAAATGAAATTCTCTCCTACTGTAATACTGTATGCCACTGAAGCCTGCGATGTAAAAAAAAAAAATTATCGTCATTATATATGTTACACAATATAAAGACAGAAAATAAAAAAAATGAGTTTACTAAGAACATTAATGTTCTACGCTTTAGATGCAAGTACATAGAATTCATTTAGTAAGATAATACAACGAAAGCAGGGAAAGAAATAAAAATGAAAAGCATTAAAGGAGAAATGGAAAAACTCCGAGAAGGAAAGGGTCCGTGGGCCCATGTCCAAGAGTTCGTGGGTTTGAACCCCGCCGGCCGAAGACTCCCGTGTAGTAAAGTGACAGATGCACGTTAAATCTGTCGAGTCGCAAAAGTCCCCCATGTTCCTATAACAAATAAAAAACCCTGGGGGTACTGGATTGGAGAACGATCGTTCTCTGATTCAGGTCAAAATTACGATCTCTGGAGGAATGAATGGATCCACCCTATACGCGGGAGTGACGTATGGTGTGGCAGAAGTTGAATTCTTGGCCATAGATGGTGCCATTGGAAAACAAGAACAATCGCACCCCCTCTGCCTAAACTGGCATACGTCAACAACAACGAATAAAGAAATTTATTTAAAAAATTCTTTTGAAAATTTTGGAAAAAAAACCTTTTCTTTCCTTAATAAAAAAAATAATACTTTAAATTTAAAAAAAATTGATTAAAAAAAAAACAGAAAACAAGATAAGGATTTCATATATATATATATATATATCAATCATAAAATAACTTCACTTGTATATATATATATAAGCCGCTGGGATAGTCATTGATATAAAAATTTTCTCTTTTCAAAAAAATACATATTATAATGAGTGACTTAAACACCACTTTTTGTTTAAAAAAGACATTAATAGGTTTTATAAAACTGTTTTTTGCTCGGCAATTCAAGCTGTCCTAAATTAATAAGTACTTGCAACTCAGCACTCCAGTCAGTAAAAAGAATATCTAACTTAGCTGTATAATAAAATGTGATTTTAATCAGGTACGGACTTGCAAAGAGAGAATCTCCGATTTCAAAGTGACATCTCAAGTAATGTTCTATAAAATGCTGACATCAGTCAACATGTTTTAAATACACAACATCAATTAAAATCAGTTCACTTATTAATAAAAGTCATAAATATTATAAATTAAAATTTCAGAACAAAACTGGTGGTTACATTTATATATATATATAAATTAACTTACTAAACTCTTTTTTTTCTTTCTTAAATTAATACGATGTTGCGAACAAACCTGATCTGGACATACAATTTTAGTGCGAAATCGCCTCACGTCACCCCCAAATCTGGCTGAAATCGTCATAAACAGGCATCAGAGTTCGATCCGGAATTTATTTGTAAGTAAAGGCAAGAAAAGTTTTAAAAAATTTAGCTGTTTTAATTAATTTATATCATTCGAAAGAATTTCAATTTTAATGAAATATAAATAGATGTAAAAAGTCCAAAGAAAAGACTAAATTTAAACATTTTTCAGAATTTTTCATCTTAGTTATTATTTTTTTTTCTTTCCAGGTCTCAGTCTATGAAAGAAAATAATAAAAGTATACTAAAAAAAAAACTCATTTCCTCTTTAAAAGAAAATTACTTTAAAATTTTTTTCCTCTTAAAAATAAGAGTTCAACGTTGGAAGATAAAATAAAAATTTATTATTTATCAGAATGTCTACTTTTAAAACGAAAAGATGTTTCCTAAATATTTTGTATATTTTATGCTTTTACATTCGCTATGAAATAATTTCGGTCTCCACGACACCCCTTCTCTTCAATTTGAACGTAAAAGCAACATTTTGATATGGCAACGAACCAACCTTTGCTTCTTATATTTTTGGTTTACATTGTGATAGTATTTTTATTCTTCTTTCAGGTATGCTAAGGATTTGAGATTTGTCTGCATTTACAGCTACTTTCCATTTAAATCACCAGTCTTCTATTTCGTATATTTGATATTGTAATTTCTGAAATGCTAAATTTGGGTTTCTATATTTCACGATGATTCCTAACAAACCTTTGCAAAGTTGCTCCACTTTGTAAAGAAAAAAGAATGTTTAAGTGTTATTAAAATATTTTGGCGGATACCAATAACTTGCTAATAAAAATAATCACACAAAGACTTTGGTTTGCAATGAAAGATTTAAGTTACAAGTTTTTATCATTTTGAAATAGAGACGTGTCCAGAAATGGAAGCTAGGCTTGTAAACAGAGACGCCAACTGCTCCGGACACGCCAAAATAATTAAAAAAACGGTAAATAACTACGATGTAAATTTTGCAAATATTTGACTAATTTTGCTTGCTTTTTTAAAAGGTATAGCAAGATAAAAGCAATATAATTTGGTGAATTATATAACCCTACGAATTATTTAGAAATAGTGGTGGATAAAAATCTACTAAATTGAATTTATTAAACCAAGAATCACAATTGATAAACTACCACTTTAAAATATATATTTGCTGTCCGGAGCAAGTTGGCATCTCTGTGTAAATAGTAAAAAATACTCTGCGGCAAACCTAAAAAATTTGCTTTTAAAAAATAAATACCTAGATTTGAATTATAAAGGTACCACTCTTTACCTTTTTGACAAAAACGACGTAATCCCAAAATGGGAGCGTAGACTCGTTTTTGGTTAGTAATTGACACATCAACCGCTATTTTTAATTCAAAACATATTAATAACTATTTTTAATGTATGAAAAGAGTATGTGCATTGAAATGGTGAAAACTACTTGTTAGTGCCTCTGCTAAGTCTGACCTTGAGTCAACTACAGTTCCTAAACAAGCATCAGCTGGTGTTCATAATTCCTCCACATGCCTTACATGTAATCACAAATTTTCACATTTTAAAAGTTTTTGCAGAGTAATCATGGTCACTACTTTAACCCATTGGCTTATAGAGCTGACCGCAGCTTTCAAGTCCGTTATTACATTGCCGGCTGTGACGGTTTTTTTCATCCGTGTTTCTTCCTTTCTGTCAAAGGGTTGACCGTGTAAATCAAAATACAGGTGCCGCTAGGGGTTAATATACATCATAAAACTTACTTCTGATTTATTTTTATACCTAAATTAAAAAAAAGAAGAAAAAAAGAAACGTGCCCGTCAATATTAATATATTTGTAGGCTTTTCAATGTAACGCATTCTTTTTACCACGTTTATATAAACTTGCCTTCGTGTATGTCTGTCCGGGTGGAATTTTGTAATCGATTTTATACTAACTTCCCGACTAGCTACAAACTTCAAATTTGGCACATAGTTCAGAATTGGATGACAATGCATGAAAATGAAGAGAAAAAAGACATACAAAGTAAAATAAAATTAAAACTCAAAAAAAGTCATTTTAGAGTCAAGTTGAGATTGTCTTTTGTTATCGATTCCATTATTTCAAATTAGTATTACATGTCAGGTGAAAAGATTTTTATTGTCGGAGTATTTTTATTGGCTGAAAAATCACGTGGTAGGATCCAGTTTTTCCTCATTCATTTCCTGATTGTTTCGGTTCTCATCAGCATAAAACTAAAGATTTTTGTATCCCTAGTTTAAAATGAAAGTTCTATTATTTTAGTAGTGGTCTTGACTACTCTTGACTAAGAAAAATAATCTAAATAAAAATATATATTTTAGGAAAATCGCGTTTTTTGTAGTGAAGAATAATAATTAAAAAAAAATTGAAAAACGAAAAACGTGGAGAGCATGAAATACATAACAGTACATATACACATTTTCTTACTCATACACATGCACAGCCACATATACATCCACACACATATGCATATGCACAAACATATTCCACATCCACATTCAGATACAATTGCATTTACAGATATACATACACATATTCTCAAGAGCACTCATACACACACTAATATAACATTACTGTTGTGTATTTCATGCGCCCCACGTTTTTCGTTTTTCAATTTTTTTTTAATGATTTATTCTTCACTACAAAAAACGTGGTTTTTAAAAATATATATTTTTATTTAGATTTTTCATTTTAACTTAAGTTTGATTCTTTTAATTTCAGAAGAAAACAAATTTGGACAACTTAACAAGCATGATCCTACCCGAAAGATAGAAGACGGTGATATTATACAAATGTAGCCAAATAGGGGATAATACTCAAAACCTGGCAAACCTTACACTTTATTTATGTTGTGATATTAATTTACTTTTATGGCTCACCACCTTTTAGAGTTTAAAAATTACAGAAATGAATGGAAAAATAAAACGCAATCACAAATCACGATTATAAAATTTCCAAGAATATGAAGCCTGTTTACACATCGCCTCGTGAACGCAACATAAGAGGACAGATACACCGGAAGTTTCCTATAATGCTTCCGGTTTTAGAAAGCTTGTTGTATTCATTCAGTCACCCATCCATAGGTGGCATGTGTTTAATTATTATGAGGGGGGGATAATCGTAATTCTATGGGTTAAACGCCTAAGTAAATTACTTAGCAGGTTTTTTTTTAAATTTATTTGTTTATTATTATTATTTTTTTGCATATTTGCAAAGATTAAAATTGCCCTAAACCATAAAAACAAACAAATTCAAAATAAAATATATACAAGTAGTAAGAACGCGCCATGAAAGATCCCTCCATTTCAGCCTTTAACCTCCATTTCGCCTTATTACGAAAATATTTTAAATCATTCATGAAAGATTCCGGTTCGTGTAAGTTCATTTGAATTCGTTACTCGTTCGTTTTGTGTTTTGTTATGTATTTTCTTTGAATTTTATTTTCTGTTTTTTGCTTGTTATGCTTAATTTCGTATATATTTTTCACTTAATAAATTCTATTTTCGTTTCAATTTTCTTGAGTGCTCCTCACACTATTGTACTGATATATTTTACTCCGGCTATACTGATACAATGTTAGAAAGCACACTTTTTTACGGATATAATCGTGTGAGCTGATGAAGAACTTATATCTTTTCATTATTTTGTCTTCCGACTTTTTAATACATTTTTTAATAATTTTATTAGAATATTTTATTTTAGTAATTTTCCTTCGTCTCTTTTCATTAATCTTTACTTTCCATGTTTTCTCTAAATTTTTAACTGATGCTTGTTACGAAGTACCTGTCCAGCTGAGATAATGACAGTAACTGAATGTAAACAAAAGCAAGCTTCCGCAAACTGGAAGCAAAATAAAAAATATCGGTGTATTAAGCTAAAATTAGAATGTAAAATTGTAACACTACAAATACATTAATATTGAGTAACGCTTAAAACTTAAACTAAACTTTAGAGAAAAAAAAAATCGCAAACAAGTTTTATGACGATTACTAATCCCTAGGGCCATCTGTTCATAGCTTTACCATAAGATATTCAAAAATTAAATAAATTTTAGGACATATATTTGTTACCACTTTCTTATATTTACTTAATTTTATATTAAATTACCCTTACATTATTTCATCAATTACCATATTTTCCTCAGCACTGGATTCTAATTTTTAAAATGCTTCTCACCCCCTTATTAACATATGCAGCACCCGCCTTCGGGGGGGGGGGGCTGCAAAGACAAATCTTAAACTCTTACAGAGTGCTAAACTTTATGTGCATGCAGTTATGAAAAGCTCATAAACTGCATGTGCATATGCTTATAACAAAACCCTGGTATTTCAGGAATAAAAATATCCGTTATGATACCTGTACGCCTAGCCTTCTTGACTTATACAAAATTAGTTCTATCAAATATTTTCTTAAGAGCACTGAACACTTCAACCCCCTTATATGGTCTTCCTCTAACTACGACCCAGATGACCCTAAGTGCAGGAGACGGCCTAAGGCCATTCTCCATTACTATAATAATCTCCAAGACATCGTTTGATGATTTTTCCATCCCCCTGACTGGCTCCTCTATCATCATTACCCTTTTCCACCTTCTTGGGTTGGCCCAATACTTCGCGGAATTACTGCGGCTCATTCTGATTCAATTTACTAATACAACTACTAACAATGTTAATCACTAAACTGCTTATTTTTCAATAATTATATATAAAATATAAATAATGATTTATAATAAATAATTAATTTTTATTTATTTATTTTTTTTAAATATATATATGTTATTACCTGTCTGTGTTATCCCTGTTCTATTTTCTTTTCCTTAATTTTATTTAACTACTAACATTAAGTTGACTAACTCAAATAATTTCTAATATCAATGGCCTTTGATTCAGTTTGTAATCATACAATTTACGGAGGTGGCCTTTTTGGCCAGGTACTCCGGTGCACCAATTATTAGTTTCCGCAGTTTTCATCAATTACCATATTGTCAATACCAACTACTTAAGGTATCCGAACACGTTCGGAGGATTTTTTTAAAAATATTAAGTTTCAGAACACTTTAATTATGTTTTTATATTTATTATATGTAAAAACTAATATTAAATAAGAGAAATTAGACATTTATATTATATTTTGTTTTTAAAAGCTAAATAACNTTTAAAAATTACAGAAATGAATGGAAAAATAAAACGCAATCACAAATCACGATTATAAAATTTCCAAGAATATGAAGCCTGTTTACACATCGCCTCGTGAACGCAACATAAGAGGAGAGATACACTGGAAGTTTTCTATAATGCTTCCGGTTTTAGAAAGCTTGTTGTATTCATTCAGTCACCCATCCATAGGTGGCATAGCTGAAAAATCGATGTATTCAATGGTGTTTAATTATTATGAGGGGGGGGGATAATCGTAATTCCATGGGTTAAACGCCTAAGTAAACTACTTAGCAGGTTTTTTTTTTAAATTTATTTATTTATTATTATTATTTTTTTGCATATTTGTAAAGATTAAAATTGCCCTAAACCATGAAAACAAACAAATTCAAAATAAAATATATACAAGTAGTAAGAACGCGCCATGAAAGATCCCTCCATTTCAGCTTTTAACCTCCATTTTCGCCTTATTACGAAAATATGTTAAAACGTTCTTGAAACATCCCGGTACGTGTAGGTTCATTGGAATTCGTTACTCGCTTTATAGATTTCGTTTTGTGTTTTGTTATGTATTTTCTTTGAATTTTATTTTCTGTTTTTTGCTTTTTATGCTTAATTTCGTATATATTTTTCACTTAATAAATTCTATTTTCGTTTCAATTTTCTTGAGTGCTCCTCACACTATTGTACTGATATATTTTACTCCGGCTATACTGATACAATGTTAGAAAGCACACTTTTTTACGGATATAATCGTGTGAGCTGATGAAGAACTTATATCTTTTCATTATTTTCATTATTTAATATTTTTTTTAATAATTTTTTTAAAATATATTTTATTTAATTATTTAATTATATTTTATTAATTTAGTAATTTTTCTTCGTCTCTTTTCATTGATCTTTACTTTACATGTTTTCTCTAAATTTTTAACTGATGCTTGTTACCAGCTGAGATAATGACAGTAACTGAATGTAAACAATAGCAAGCTTCCGCAAACTGGATGCAAAACATAAAAATACCGGTGTATTCAGCTAAAATTAGAATGTAAAATTGTAACACTACAAATACATTAATATTGAGTGACGCTTGAAACTTAAACTTTAGAGCAAAAATGAATTGCAAATAAGTTTTATGACGATTATTAATCCCTAGGGCCATCTGTACATAGCTTTACCATAAGATATTCGTAAATTAAATAAATACATTTGCTACCACTTTCTTATTTTTACTAAATTCTATATATTACTCTTACGCTGTTTCATTAAGCATGTTATCATGATTTGAACTGCATATGCAGATATCCCGAGCCGTTACTGCCTCGTACTCCTCCAAATTTCCCGTCCTCATTACTTCCAATGCCATTAGTCTCAGTCGCCCTAGGGCATAACACAGATCTGAGGTCTAGTGCCCGCTTGCGCGGGCAGGTACCTTGCCAAATTACATGATCTAGCTAGCTAGCATTAAGTAACATATGTTCAATACACAATACTTAATAGAAACCGTGTACAGACTTTACACGGTCAACAATTTGACGGAAAGGAAGAAACACCTGCATTAGCCAATGGGTTGAAGTGATGGCCATAATTAACCCTACCAATTCTCCAAACATTGCCCACGTTGAATGTTACATAATGTACATTATTTTTTTACGTTTTTATTGTGGATTTTGTATTTTTAGTATGCGTTTGAATTATATTAACAACATGTTTATGAAGTTGCGTTTTTTCTTATTGGAACTTTAAAATTTAATTTTTGAGTGACAGAAATAATTTGCTAATAAAACAACTTCTCATATATTTTTTTTCGTAAACTGTATAAAATAAAAAATAATCAAATCAACACAAAGTAAAAAATGTTAAATTAAAGAATAACAATGACTGACTTACTCGTAACTCCACCCACTTGTCAAGAAGGCGGCGACTATTGAACTCGCATAAAAGACCAGATTTAGTGACCGCAAAAGTACTGTCAGCAGATTCACCTCTCCCACATGCTACATCGCAGAAATAATTATTCCTTTGGTCTCCTAATATGGCTGATCGACCCATTAGAGGTACAGGTTCTAGTTTATACTGTAAAAATAAATATTTCTGATTACCATAAATTTTTTTTTTATAATAAAAGAAAAATAAATTATTCATCTCTAGATAATTTACAAATCACGTCAACATTGATTTTTCAAACCATTATATTGCATAATTGCAATTTTTCCAAAAATTTCTATATGTATTTTATTATACTGTTTCTATGTGTATATGCAAAAATTTTGCAATTTTTCTAGGCTTAATTGCAATTTTTTGCAAAAAGTCATCAATTGGGATACCGCAGGATATAATGAACTTTTTACATAAATTTAAAATCACATCAACATTGATATTTTAGAGACCATAACATTGCTTAATTGCAATTTTTGAAAAAATTGCAATTTTTCCAAAAATTTCTATATGTATTTCATTATACTTTTTCTATATGCATGTGCAAAAATTTTGCAATTTTTCTAGGCTTAATTGCAAATTTTTTGCAGAAAGTCATCAAATTGGATACTTTTTACTTTTGGAAGCCTGAAAGAAGACGTAAACCTAAAAGAAATGACTGTTGATTTTTGAAGCGACGCATCTTTTTCTCCAGAATGAAAAATATATAATTTTCTTTTCACTTTAGTTTGCATTCCAGTTAACAGAAAGTACAATCTAAAAATTAAAACCTCAAGTTCGGCCCAGAGCAGCCTCAGGCGTGCAGATAAATTTTGATGATAGTTTTAAAATCACCGTCATATTTTTCGATATTAACATCGATTTTCCCCCATTACTTGAAGTTCGACTAGTAACTTTTTTTCGTTCAATTATACGAAAAATTATCTTCTTTTGATACCAGGGTGGTTACAACCGGGAAAAAAATTTAAAATTTAGTGAAAAATCTCTCATGATAGTGTAGAAAATTTAAAGAGTTTAAAAGGTTTAGCTAATTAATTTAACGCTGTTTTTCGTAACTCCTCAACCAAAGGAGATTAACAAAAAAAAAAAAAAAAAAAAAAAAAAAANTAAAAAAAAAAAAAAAAAAAAAAAAAAAAAAAAAAAAAAAAAAAAAAAAAAAGCAGTTTAAATGGCTTGAAGCAATGCGATGATTTTTAGCTGGAAAAAATAAATTTCCATGGTTACCAAGACTTATAATTTTCCAGCGTCGAACACTCTCATATGTATGCTTTATAATTGTTAAGAAGTCTTGGCTGCCAAGGTTCTGTTAGTCCTCCAAAAGACAAGCTAGACCATGGCTGAAAGCCCTTATATAGCAAGACGAAAAAGAGAAAAAACTGGTTCGTCAGACATTTCAGTCCAGCATTTTTTTCAAAAAAAATAAAATATCTGTAACTATCAAGATATCTTTTATAATTTTAACATATATATAAAACTGCTTCTTTTCCAGGATAAAGTAGATATTGTTGAATAATTTAAAAAAAGAATAAGTAAACTCCTCCCAAAAACTAGCATTGACTGAAATGGTTTTACTACCAGCTTTTTCTCTTTTCGGAGTAAAAATTGTCATGTTAAAAATTTAATTTTATCAATTTGTGCCAAGCATCCCTTTGAAAAGGACAGCAACGCACGATTCTCAATAATATAAAAAGTGATAGCTTAATTTCATTAATAGGTTTTTTCTTCCATATATATATATATAATATTGCCGAAAATCTTGGCAGTTACAGAAATTAGATTTTTCTAGAAAAAAAAGAGGATAGAATGAAATGCCTTTTGTACCAGTTATCGCTTTTTTCCGCCTTGATATATATATTTANTATATATATATGTTTTCAGCCCTGAATGATACTTATGCTTTATACAGTACTTTATAACTCTCGGATTTATAAATTTAATTTAATATGATTTGGGCTACTACTAAACGCAAATAAATTAATCTTACATATAATATTAAGTCATCAATTATGATAAGCTAATTTTATCCACAATTGTATTTTAAAATATCTTTCACACCAATTGGGAAAGTTGGCAGCTCAGATTATACAGTCTATAAACACTACTCGGCATGAAAACAAGATTTTTTACACTGATTTATCTACTTTTTAAGTAAAATGGTCTTTTGAACTTGTACTTCATTTTAAGACGAAGCCTTTCACATTGTTACATGAATATAAATCTAAATTTGCCTACCGCGTCACATCTAACACACGTGTAGCACAGACATGACACATGCACGTAGCCCAGGCATAAATAAATATCTTTATTGTTCTTATATAAACATTAATAGACAACAATAAAGCAATGAAAATTTGATACATTTATTAATAAAAGTACTGTTTGACATACTTTTGTCGAGCGAGAGTATTCCAGGTACCAAAATTTGACATGGTTGTTGCCAACGGTTACAAAATAATTTCCACCAGCAGCAAAAGAAAGCGCTTTCACCTATAAAAAGATACAAAATAAATTTTATGTAAAAACAACTAAATAATTTATACAATACGATAGTATGACAGATGAAACAAATGCTCCGCTTTATGCAAAAAAAATTATATAAAATAGCTCATATTAAAAAATCGAAAAATGCAGAATTTTGGTTGATTTTGCAAGCACTTGAAAAGACTGCCAACGAAAGTGTAAACCGAATTAAAACATTTAAAGCTTTCAGAATTTTAGGCAATTTTGCCAACATTTTTAAATCTATACTGCGAGTAAAGAAACTGAAAGTGGCGCTTTACATGAACTTTTGATTCATTTATATGTATGTAGTGGCATGAAAAATAACTTTACATGAAATTTACAAATGAAGGAAACATATATTAGGGCATAAGCTTAGCTACTATTAGAAGAAATATTTCCATAAAGCGGAGAAAATCGGCCGCCATGGGTATATTTTATTTTATAATCGTCGTTGAACAGCCAACCCAATTTTGAGTTTACGACTACCATATTGAACTCCGTTGCCTTGTGATTTTGAATCCAATCCAGAAGTCAATGGAACTCTTGGATCAAGGATTGAGAGAAGTTTTCCCTTTTTTTTAATAAAATTAACCTGTATTTATTACCACCTGAGAAGGACCTGATTTATAGAACCTGAACTAAGTCATGGATAGTGACGAGGTGGCTCAAAAGTTTGAGTGCTCGCCTCACAATGAAGGTGACCTAGGATCAAATCATAGCGTTGTCTGGTTGATACGAACTCCGCTCCCGACTTGCAGTAACCACAGCTGAGTTAAATATAACGACAGGGCAGTCAACTATCGACGCTTTTTGTAAAAATTTATTCTAGTGGTAGCTATGCTTATGTTTTAATGTATTATTTTTTATTAATTTGAACTTATTTTCCACTCCACTACATATAAATGATTTAAAAGTTAATATGCAACGCCACTTCGTTCTAGCTTTATCATGGTGAGGCTTTTAATATGTTTGCAAAAATTACCAAAAATTCTGACAGCTTTGGTTTTAAACGTCTACCACTCCATAAAATATTCAGCAAAAAACGCAGTAGTTAACAGGCCTGCCTACAATATTTGAAACGCTTTTGCAATAATTATAAAATTTCAACTGCTTCAATAGTTTTGAAATTTAGGTATGTAATATATTTCAATTACTCAATGGTTGTGAAATTTAGGTATGTAATATATTTAAATATTTTAATTACTCGATGGTTGTGATATGCAGCACAACGCCATATTCAACGCCACTTTTTTCCAGCTTTCAAAATGTTGGCAAAATTACCAAAAATTTTGAAGGCTTTGGTTTTTAAACATCTACAACTCTATAAAATATTTTGCAAAAAGCATAGTAATTGGCAGGCCAGTAACCAAACTAAAAATTTTCAATTTAACCATCAATAAATACGTTTATTTAAGATATAATGTTAGGTAAAAGAGTTCATATACTCATATGGATAGAAATCAAAATTTAAAAGAAAAATGAAAGCGGATGCTCGTTTGAAAACAAAAAGTGAATTCAAGGGCGATTCAACGAGCTTCCATTGTATTTTCATAACCTACTCGTGTCCAATGTATGAGAAAACACCCTCAATACCAATATCCGGAATACAAAGACAATATTTTACCGTGAAATCTGATTAGTCAATTACGTGGGAGTTGAAACACAGCCAAACATGAAAGCTGTTTGAAAAATGGGCTTGTCATCTTTCACTTTTGTTGTGTCACTTGCCAACGTCACTTTATTACGAAATTTCTTTAGTAACTTCAGGTATGCATGTAATAAAAATATTGAATTTTAAAAATTTATCCCAATTATATTTGTCATGTTTTTGCTCTACCATAAACAGTGTATTAATTACATTTCTATTCGTTTTGATGTAATCAACATTTGATATCGTTGTATTTCTCTGTATATTAAAAAATTGCGCGGGTCGGTGACATCGTCGTTGATTTGGATGTTCTTAACACTACATTTCGTTTTGTAGCGCAAAGAATGTGAGACGTAATAACATCAAATTGCATACGTGTGTTTAAAAATGTATTGGTAGTACAAATGGAATAAAACAAAATTAACATTTGATAGTTGGAGAATTATTAACTGTTGAACTTGTAGGGAAAAATACCAGACGGGCCGTACTACAGGCCGCTGGAATGCAACTATACAGTTGAAATTTGGTATGCGGAAAGAGCCATATTTATTTATGACTTAAAACTTTTTTTTTTCGAAATTCCACTTTATTAGAAAGTTAACGTAATTTTAAGTGCTTTTTTGCTATTTTCTATCACATTTTTTTGCTTTATGTTACATTTTGCTTTGCTGCCTGAAATCAATAAAATTTAGAAACTATAGACAGTGTAGGTATGTACAAAAAGTACAGAGAGTACGGCGGAATAGAAAAAAATTTAAGATTCTCCAATTAGTTCGAGAAATATTAACTGTAAAACTTGTAGGAAATAAATACCATTGCTTATAGCTTAAATAAATGCTTAATTTATTGCTATATAATATAGATAATCAATAACCACTTCATTGTCCCGGTCCACATATATGTGCATCATCGCTTCTTAGCTTCTAAAAACACACTATAAGAAAATTCATAGTTTTACCTTCACTTAAACATTTGTGGAAAAGCTTACTGGGAATTCCGCATAAACATAAGTGATTTCTAATCCACGTGCAANGCTAACATGGCTCACTTCCAATATATAAAGAGAGAGAAATTTTTTTCTGACTTAGTAGTTCTGTGATCTGTGTGAGGCTTTTTCAAATTGAAATACGTGCTTTTGTTCCGATTTGAGAAATCAAAGTGTCAATGAAAAAGTAAAAGTCCTTACTTTACAAGACACTTTATTGGAAGCTACTTTTTGTTTATTCCTCCAGTCCCACACATTCACTACCATGTCATGTTGTGAACCTATTGAAACTACATATTTCATGTTAGGGGAAAATGCCTGAAAAATGAAAAAAAGGGAATTAATTTAAGTCATATAATTTCAACAAAGTAAAGCAACGCAAAATTCACTTTACAGTAAATTTCTCTACTCTTAATCAAAAATGTCAATTTTCTAGTCCAGTAATTAATGCGAAAAAAGGATGGGGTTTTTCTTCGGAAAAATTAATAGCCAAGATACTTTTTGGCATAAAGCTATATTAAAAGATACCTGAAAACTCCTCTGTACGTTTCATCAATTTTTTAAAGGGAAAGGGGGGTTGATTTTTTCCTTTTTTTTGGGGGGGGGGAGGATATCTTCTAGACAGACAAGTGAAGCAGATTTTCAAAAAAAGGAGATTTCTTATGCTCAATTGAATGAGACTAGTTTCTAGACGATCTGACTAATAGTTTAGAAGTTATGAGCTTTTTAAGTACAAAAAATACAAATTTGTACTTATATCTGACTCACGCATTTGATACTGCTGTCTAAACAAGTGAAATAGTGTTTCTATTTGGTAGTTTTAGTGATAAGTGAGACAGTTTTCACGCTGAATCATCTCAAACCAACCCTACTTTAATATATAAAAAAAATTTAAAAATCGAGGGGAGAATACAAGGTAGAGTGGGGGAATTTAACATAAATAGTCCCAAGAAGTTGATACAGTTAAATATTATTTGATTAAAAAAAAATCATTCCCTTCAGAATTATACGGAATGGAAATAAAAGTCGACATGAAATAAAATCGACATGAATAAAAGTCGTCAAAACCGGCTCCCATTCTCATGATTTTGCAGGCGTGAAGGAGATGGAAAAAAAGTGATTTGAGATATAAACCATAAAGTTGCTAATGAAAAATGGAAAAATAAAGGTCTACATCAGTTACTCACCACCTCTCCATAGCAGGTAGAAATTTTTATTACCCTGATTTGCTCATCTCAGCCACTGCGGTTTTTTTTGTTTTGTTTTTGTCTTTTTTTTCTCTCTCGGCTACTGGTTTTTTTCTTTTTCTTAGTTTTCTTTCTCGCCTTTATATTTCCCTTTTTCGTTGGTAACTTTACGTTTTAAATAACTTTACGTGGTAACTTTACGTCTTCTCATTCACGTCTGGCTAGTCTTGAAAATGGGAGCCCATTTTTGAGCGCTTGAAACATAGTCAAATTTATTTCCTTTTCTTATATTTCTGAACAGAATGAATCTTTTATGCAAGAAATTTGCCAAATAGTCTATATAATAAACTACTGAATTCATTTACCCAAAGTTCCGTTTACTGTTTTTATTCAAACATGAAATAGTGTGCATTGCTAATTTCCGAACAATTTAATCAAACATGCTCTGAACTATGTCGGGTATTATACTTTTAAAAAAAATCGCCATCTATATTTTTTTTATTACCACTTATAAATGTGCCTATTTTAAATAATTTATGCGTGATATTATGAATTAAATATTTAGAACACATAAGAAAAATAAATACGTTTTCTTAACCATTCTTTTACAGATAAAGAAGATTTCTGTAAAATGATTATAAATAAAGTTTTGCTTACCACACAATTGATCCCATGTTTGTGGCCTGATAAATCAGCAATCTGCGTAAATTTTTGAACATCCCATATTCTGACATGGGACACAGCACCACACTGAAAATAAATTTTGCGTGTTATTTTTAATAAAGCAAGCTGTTTTTTGATGCATATTTTTAGAATTATATTTCCAAACATGTGTACAATACAACATACACAATATAACAATAATATAATATACACATTAGAGGTGACTAACAGAGCCATTATTTTTAAAAGTGGTATAAATCCATTTTGAGCTAAGAAGTCGAATATTTATTTATTTTCTTTAACACGTTGAATGCCTTGGGGGTCACCCATCACCTTCTATATCAAAAAGCCTCCACACGGTCTTTTATAAGTAGTCCGCGCCGACTATTTAAAAAGTGAACCAGTAGTGCACATGAACCCAATACCTTTTATAAAAATAATTGAGAGAAATTAATCATATATATTTGAGAACAAGTGAATAAGACAAACCAATAATGTTCATAAATAAAATAAATTTTTAGTCATATATTTGCTACCACTTTCTTATTTTAACTATATTCTGTATTAAATGACTCGTTCTGAAAGTGGATATCCTTCACAGTGGTCTGATCGGACCATCTATAGGAAACCGTGATTATTAGAAACACATAATTCGAGTAAATTTTTATTTTCTTAATATTACTATCGTTACTAAAATGGTTTGAAGAAATTAATGCAATATAGAACACCTAGTCCTAGTGTTTAGATTTCACTGAGCCGCGAAGCGGCCCCTATCCTATTCATCTGGAATTTTTGAACAGTTTTGGTTGAGCAATGAGGTAAGCAGGCAATGGAGTTGCTTTTATGAATGTTTCAAGCTCTTTGTTTGAATAACTAAAAAGGAATAAAAAATAAATTGAGCAGCTTGCTCTAAACTGTGTTTGTTTGATTTTGGAGTTGTTCAGAATTGTATCAGCATGAGTAAACGTTACAATATAGAACACACAAAAATAGTTTTATTTATATACACAGAGATGCCAACTTGCTGCGGACAGTTGGAATAAATATTTTCAAGTGGTAGTATATTAATTGTAATTCTTGGTCTAATAAATTCAATTTAGTTGAATTTTATCTACCACTATTTTTAAAGAATTTGTAGTATTATATAATTCCCCACTTACCCTGATAAGTCATGCGATAACTGTTTAAAAACTAAGCAAATCTGTCCAATATTTGGCATGCAATGTAAAATTACAGTGGCATTCAACGTGTTAATCATAATCGTTGCAAGTTACTGAGTTCAAAAACATCACCCAAATTAATTTTTATTTAAACTCATTCAAATACCCTTATTAATTACCTTGGCAATTACCCTTAACTATTTCAGGGATGCCAACTGCTCCGCTTTCTGAAATAGTTATAATAAAGTTATAGCAAATTATATAGTAAAATTCGTTGAAGAAGGATAGTTACGCCTACTTTTTATTAGAGTAACTAGTAGATAGTTGCTTAAACGTTGCATTTTAGATGACACTTAATTAAACACACATAATTTGTGATATTTAGTGGCGTGAAAATTATTTAAAATAAAAAATACTAAACTAAAAGTAACTTAAATTTCGCTACCACTAGAAAATACTATTTTACAAAGCGGAGCAAGTTGGCATCTCTGCTATTTGATGCAGAATGTTTTTAACACTTTCATCGTGGCAATGACGTGCCTTTGTCCCACCCTCTGCGCTACCCAGCAGCACTAAAATTGAAATAATACTCAAGTTTCTTTAAAACTTGTTTATTTTACTTTAAAAAATACTAATCAATATCGTATTCACTAATACTACAATAGAGCACCGCGAGTATTCATGGAAGACGAGTTATCTCGTTCGTTGCAATGAAAAAGTTAAACATATTTTTAGTACTTTTTTCATCATTTTGTATTAATTTAGGTTAAAAAAAATATTATATTTAGCATTTTAATAATTTATGATTACGAAATGCAGCATGAAACACCAACCTTCCTAACATGGCTCACTTCCAAACAACAATTTTTCAAATTTGAATTTATTTGCAGTTATTTAGATCTAAGAGAAACAGTTATTCATCATTAAATTTTTTTTTGATTTACGAAATAATAATATAAATTTTCGAATATGAATGAAAAAAAATGGCTAACTACTTTTTTTTGGATTTTATATTTTAGTAGAAATATAATTCCAATAATCTAAAGTAATTTTTTATTAACTATTAGACTGTTTTGTATGATTAAAAAATATCAAAATATATTTTTGCTTGCAATTAAAGAGTCAAAAGGAATGTATAAATGGTACACCGGTGACCTATCTGCGTCAAAAGGTTAAAAGCTTCGGCATTATAAAATTTACAAAATGATCTAATCGCGCGTTCAAAAATAACAGTAATTAATACAGGGAGGAAAACGAAAAACTTTAAAAAAAATCAAATGAAATATTATTGGGGAAAACATAATTTTCTTTGGAAACTAACGTGTTTTAATATCTTTTTAATTCGAATTCCTTATAATTATTTAACTTAACTTAAATATGAATTTGGGTTTTCTAATGTGTAAAAAACCTTTGTTTTGAAAAGCATTAAAAAAACATGTATAAATGATGGGAATGATGAAATATCTGGTACAATTTAGAAATATCGTTCAAAATATTATTTTTTAAAATCATATAAGGTAAGCGTTAGCGTAAGTTTTATTTTTCTCTTTATTAAAAATATTATTGTGCTGCTTTTTCATTATTAAATTATTTTTTATGGCTGTTTTAAAAGCAAAATTTTAAGAAAGAAGGAAGAGCAATAAAACAAAAAAAAACTATGTTCTTTTTTCCCCTTTTGAGGTAATTAATTTAATTTTTTAAATATTTCTATAGCGAACTCGTTTTTATTTTATTTCTTTTAATTTTGACTTATTCGATAAAATAAAATTTAAAAAAATATAATTTATGTCAGTAGAATTTATAGGCGACATCCTGTTTGAAAGAATGGAAGAAAATGAAAACTCCAATGAATTGAAAAACTTTGGAAACAAAAACGGAACTAAAATCATAATATTAGTCAGAAAAACCCTAAATTTTCTCCCGCAACTAACAGATTTTACTATTTTTTTCGCCATTATTGCTCGCCATCCACAATAATGATTGATCAGATTTTGATGACGTTTTTGTTTTGTGTTTTTTTTATTTGAGCATAAATTTGGTTTCTCTTTTGCGTAAAAAATGCTTAACTTAGTTTTGACAACCATTCCAGAAATATGTATTAATGATGGGAATTATAAGACACCCGGTATAATTTTCAAAAAAAAATTTTTATTAAAAAATAGGTCAGCTTGTCTGTTTTTCTTTTCTTTTTTGAAAATATTATTGTGGTGTCATTCATCTTAAAAATGTTTTAAAAGCAATATTTTAAAAGCAATTTTAAAAGCAATATTTTGAGGAAGAAAGAAGAATAAGAAAACAAAAAAATCAATGTTCTTTTTTTTCCGCTTTGGAAGTACTTAACTTAATTCTTCGAACATTTCTATAGCAAACTCGTTTTTATTTTTACTTCTTTTAATTTTGACTCATTTGATAAAATAATATTTATAAAAAAAAACGAATTTTAACTGCTGCATCATAAATAAGTAACATCCTGTTTGGAAGAAAATTAAAACCATAACGAATTGAAAACCCTTGTAAAACCACGCATTTAAATATTTGTGATTTCAAAGCTAAACAAGAATAGTGTTTTTTTAACGTATGAAGTATGTGGTTTGGCGAGTTGAAAAAAGAAAAATTGATTGAATAGGATTGTCGGATTAGCATTCCATTCAAGTTGTACTGTTGACCCTAAAATTGAGATTAATTTTCAAGAGGGTGAGGTTTAAGGGCAAACTAAATCCTTTATGAAAAAAAAAAGAATCGTTTTTAAACATTTAACTTGTAAGCGTTTGAGACAATCGAGTAAGTTTTTAAATTCATGCAAAGGTGTATTAGTAAAGGTGATGGAATAGTAAATTCTACTGAAAATGGAAAAAAAGAAAGAAAAAGACGGCGTTTATCAGAGTTAAAACATAAAACAATGCTACTTTTTTTTAAAAAAATTATAATTATTTAAATTTTATCCCATGGTGAGAAATAAGTATATAGAGTCCTATATAACATTTGAAATGTAACCAAGTAACCATCACTGTTTCAGATATAAAAGCTAAAAATTTAATATAAACTATTTTACTATACATTTAATGGAAATCGCTTAATTGTTCCAGCAAATGAAATTTATAAGGAATTTATTTATGCAAAAATCGTAATTCTTGTAACAAATTCTTAAATTAAATCTCTTATTAAAAAAATTCTGAAGCATAAACTTACATAATATTTTGATTACTTATACCGCACTTTAGAAGACATTAAAACTTATAACATTCTAAAAAAACTCATGTGGCACTCTCCGTTGCAAGTTAAGAAAAGACCACTGCTGTATAAGATTTAAGTAATCATCCGCTACTGCATATAGTTCCGTTTTATTTAATTATCAAATTATATAATTTTGCATACAAAACGATAAAAAAAAAGCTTTTAAAAGTTAAACTCGTCGGAAAGAAATTTAATTCGTGCTAAATTTATAGGTAAAAAGCACACTGTGCTTCGTCGTTTCAAAAGTTGGCGATGTTGATATTCGTTCGCGCATGGAGCTTGGCATCCATTTAACGTGCACTTAGATGCAATCAGACTCTTTCTAGAGGAATTGTGGCTTTTTCGTAACTTGAAACAGAGTTCAGATGTTCATAACTCAGCGATTCCCAACTTTTTGAAAAAGCAATAGAAACCAAACAATCGACCTTCATCAACAATTGTATATATATTAACCAATGAAATTAAAACATTAGCAATGTAAACATAAAAACATATAATGGTTATCAGTGAAATTTTCTTACTTGTTGAATTTAGTTATCTTGAATAGAAAGTTCTATTGGAAATAATAATGCAATTCTGCACAATNTAAACAAGAATAGTGTTTTTTTAACATATAAAGTATGTGGTTTGGCGAGTTGAAAAAAGAAAAATTTGATTGAATAGGATTGTCGGATTAGCATTCCATTCAAGTTGTACTGTTGACCCTAAAATTGAGATTAATTTTCAAGAGGGTGAGGTTTAAGGGCAAACTAAATCCTTTATGAAAGAAAAAGAAAAGAATCGTTTTTAAACATTTAACATGTAAGCATTTGAGACAATCGAGTAAATTGTTAAATTCATGCAAAGGTGTATTAGTAAAGGTGATAGAATGGTAAATTCTACTGAAAATGGACAAAAAAGAAAGAAAAAAAAAGACGTTTATCAAAGTTAAAACAAAAAACAATGTTACTTTTTTTAAAAAAAAATTTATAATTATTTAAATTTCATCCCATGGTGAGAAATAAGTATATAGAGTCCTATATAATATTTGAAATGTAACCAAACAATCAACATTGTTTCAGATATGAAAGCTAACATTTAATATAAATTATTTTACTATGCATTTAACGGAAATCGTCAAATTGTTCTAACAGATAAAATTTATGAGGAGTTAATTTATGCAAAAATCGTAATTTCTGTAACAAATTCTTAAATAAAATCTCTTATTAAAAAAATTCTGAAGCAGTAACTTATATTATATTTTGATTACTTATACCGCACTTTAGAAGACACTAAAATTTATAAAATTCTAAAAAAAAACTCATGTGGGACTCTCCGTTGTGAGTTAAGAAAAACGAGTTAAGAATTGCGGTATAGGATTTAAGTAATCATCCGCGACATAGTTTATTTATTTAGTTATCAAATTATGTAATTTTGCTTTTAAAAGTTTAAATCGTCGGAGAGAAATTTAATATGTGCTAATTTTATAGGCAAAAAGAACGCCATTATTCGTCGTTTCAAAAGTTGGAGATGTTGATATTCATTCGCGCTTGGAGCTTGTTATCCATTTAGCTTGCACTTAGATGCAATCAGACTCTTTCTATGAAGATTATGGCTTTTTCTTAACTTGAAACAGAGTTTTGATGTTCTAACTCAGCGATTCCCAACTTTTTGAAAAAACAATAGAAACCAAACAATCGACCTTCATCAACAATTTTAAACATATTAACCAAAGAAATTAAAACATTAGCAATGTAAACATAAAAACATATAATGGTTATCAGTGAAATTGTCTTACTTGTTGAATTTAGTTATCTTGAATGGAAACTTTTATTGCAAATAATTATGCAATTCTTTAGAATTACACAAACTTTTTCAGAATATCTCCAATATATGCATTGTATATAGAATTTTTTTTAAAACTTGCTAAATTTTTGCTGCCATTATATTAAAAATAATTTCCTAAATTTGCCCAAAATGTTAAACAGATAATGGATTATTGATGGTTATAAATATAACTGCAGTTTATAAAAAATAATTCCCGTTAAAAAAAAAATCCTAAATCTCAGAAACGTTGTGACCTTTCCATAAAACGCTTGAGTTCTACGGCACACCTTTTGAGAACGGCTGCTACGAACTATGGGCAAAATATTAGGGCTGTAACTTCTCTAGGAAAGAGCAATTATTTCGTAGAAAAACTATTTCATTTTCAGCTTTTTCGTGGGTAGTGGAAAATCTGTATGAATCGCAAATTACATAAACTATTAAGAACCGGCTGCCTCTAAAAGAAGCAGTGACGATAACAATACATATTTGTTTAAATCAAGTCTATATTTCTTTCTGTTAACTATTACTTTAACTTTAAAGAAGCATTGCGCTTTCTAATTCTAATTACATGCCTGCCGTTGAAGGTAGCACTACAGATTGTTGACCACAGATTACTCGGGCCATGCTGACGTTTTCAGTGCTTGAAGATGGTACTAAGCACAGCGTCCGAAAGAAAGAATGAATTGACTAGATTATATTTGAATCTTGCGTCGATAAGTTAAAGCACAGCGTTTGGACTTCACACCCAAATCTAAATTTTTATCATAAAAATATATAGTGGTTGACTAACCGATACATCGGAGGATATTCAATTAATGTCTAAATTGTCTTATGTATGTAGTTGGAGAAGGAAATTTTTAACCACAGATTACTTGTGTCATGCTGATGTCTTTAGTGTTAATAGAAAGAAGTGACTGGATTATCTCTAGATCTTGCGTAGATAAGTTAAAGCAGAGCATTTGGACTTCAGATCCAAATATAAATTTTTATGATTAAAATTACATTGTGGTTAACGAACAGATAAATCGGAGGATATTTAATCATTGTCTAAATTGTCTAATGTATCTAGTTGAAGAAGGAAATTGTACACCACAGATTACTTGTGTCATGCTGACGCCTTTAGTGCTTGTGTATGTCTCAAAAATATATTGTGGTTGACGGAAATTTTATATTTCTACCAAGAAATCTTTGTTATAAAACAGCTTTTTTTTAAAGAAAAAAACGTCTTTTAGAAAGGACATTTATTTTAGTTTCTTTTTTTAATTTTATTTTTTACTTATTTTTATTTATTTACACGTTTAACTTTGAAGTTTGATTAAATTTTAAGAACCGTTATACAGTACGTGACGGTACCTATCGGTTGAATCCCATCACTGGGTAAGCACACACATGCATTTTAAGAATGGAATAGGCATAGTAATCCTCATTAACAAAAAACTTTTTTCTTAAACTTAAAATAAACTACCATTAAATTGACACTATGTATTGTGAGTGCAATTGCAACATAAGATACTTTTGTTCTAAAACAGTCACATTCCATGTCGTAAAAATTATTATCAACTTTCCGTAATTCTCACGATATTTAAGCCGAATCGTGACAAAATGCGAAACATTAAGTTCACATAAAGAATTCGTGACTCACGAATAAAAACTTGTAACGAACTTTATTCCACCTCCGTCAGAAAATAATAAATAAATAAAAAGAACAAACATTACATATCTAGAATTAACATCATTCCATATACACACAAAGTACATGAAGCATCACAACATAAACATAACAGAACCGTGAAAGGAAGTAAGTTCTTTAACAGTTAAATGATAATTTCCGAAAAGTCTTTACTTTATTTCCTTCCGCCATAATAAAACTCCCATTTTCTTTAAAAAAATAATAACTCGAATTAGAAGCAGAAACCAGAAATATGGCATTATAACTTCTTTATTCTGACATCTTTACAGATCGATGACTCAATAATTACTACACTCCGTGGCAACTTAAGAAAAGACCATCGCGGTATAGGATTTAAGTAATCATCCGCGACTGCATATAGTTCTGTTTTATTTAGATATCAAATTATTTAATTGTGCTTTAAAAACAACATAAAAGCTTTTAAAAGTTGAACTAGTCGGACAGAAATTTAATTCGTGCTATCTTTTATGATATATGTCATAGAATTATTAAAAAAGGGTTATAGTTCCGTAGTCTTACTGGAATCCCAGACTTGGCGACATATTTCGAAAAATAAGTAGAACATTCGTTCTTAAAAAGGAAACAAACTATATGACTTTGCAAGAACATTGGATCTAATTGGACCATCAAAAATGGCGCGTCTTATACAGACAGACATGCCCTCAACAAATCAAATGTGAGATAACGAAATTTTTTTTTAAATTTTTGTTTCGCTTTAGAAAAAAATCGTCTGCAAGAAACAATATTTATTATTCTTTCATCGGTTTCTTTGAATGCGAACAGAAAGATGTATATTTGTTACGATTTTTAGATATCATTTTTATTAATTCTTATAGACAAAACAATAGTTTATATTCAATAAGTTTAATATTCCTCATTTCACATGATTTAGGAAAGCGAGCAAGAAGAAGGTTTCAAGAGTCTAAGTTGATATACATTCGCGCTGGTAGCTTGGCAGCTATTTCGCGTTCACTTTAGATGCAAACAGGCTTTCTCCATAGGAATGTTTTTTTTTTTCTTAACTTGCAACAGAGTATTAGAACAATGCGTCTCTCAAATGCGATTACATCTCAATTTGTGATTGTAGCTGAACAAAGATCTTACCTCTCCAGTCGCCAAGTATTTTCCATCCCAGGAAAATGATAATGTTGTGATGTTTTTTTTAGCATCTGATACGAGGTGGCGTTGTTTATTTTTTCGTGTATTGTACAAAACAACTACGCATCTGAAAAAGAAAATAATATTGTTTTAAAAAGAGGATTTAAGGAGCTTAGTAGCATTGGCAAAACACTCCGAGTTTTGATATTTTTCATACCATTTATGGAATTTTTAATGTAGAACTTTTTTTCTTTTTACTATAAGTAACGTATAGCAGAACTTCGTATTTTTGCTGAAACATTTAAAATAAATTGAAATTTTTTGTTATTAAAATAACCAGTTTTTGAAATGTTTTGTAAACATAGCTGCTGACAACAACGGATTGTTTATGGCATTCCTCTTTATATTTAGATTGGTAATAAATCTCAGAAATTTCATTTTAATTCTTAGATTCATAAGTTTAACTTAAAGTGATTTTGCGTAACACTAAATGCAATTAAATCATTCTTATATGTAAGAGCAAGTTATAGAACCGAAAATTCTACCTTTATATAGGGAAAGAAATGCAGTTGTGTCTTAAAAAGCTGAAATCTAAAAGTGTCTAAATTTCGGTTCACTTAGCGCAATGTTAACACTAATTTAACACCATCAACAGGCATTTTAATAATATACTTTTTTCTATTATTTTAATAAATTTAAGTAAAATATTTGTTTTGTCCCATATTGTTAATCCAATTCTGAATGTTGATTTTATTTATAAATATTGCAGTCTTTTATGAACTTAAAGCGTGAAGTAGAACATGCAAATTACACTAAATAAAAATATATTATCATAAAATATTGATTCTAGGGTTTTATGTCACAAGAGTCCAAATTGGCTATCTTGCTCTAAATGTGAACGGCATCATCTACTCTAAGCTATCCAAATGATGTTGTTAACTGGGCCATTCTCAAAAAATTAAGGAGGGAAGGCAATATAATTATCATACTGCGATTCCTATAAAACCTACTTTTAAATAAAAACTGCGAATCACGTAAGCATTACATTCGGGACAAACATTTTTGTTGAACTTATACAAGTACTTGATCATACCTAATTCGTATATGTGGACTTCAAATCTAAACTTAACTTTTTCGAAAAGCTACAGATTTTTTTCAAGGTTGATATACATAAATATGTCCTAGTCTCTTTCTTTGAAATTAACATTGAAGACAAAAAGCTTATGACCTTAACGTATCGTATCATAAACTGAAATGTATTATAGTTTCTGTATGAATGTAAAAGTTAATAAGGAACGTATAGGTTGATATACATAAATATGCTCTAATCCCCTCCTATCACTCAGTACGTAGCTAAGATGGGAGGAAGCTTAGTATTAAATAAAGTGAATTTCAAAATATCCTGATTAGGAATTATAGTATGCAGTACAGAACTATAGGCAATAGAGGCCTGCCAACTTTCTATGCTTTTTGTAGAACTTTGTTCTAGTGGTAGCTATGTTAATGTTTTAATGTATTATTATTTATTTATTTAAACGTATTTTCCCCACTTCTACACATAAATGATTAGCTATGTAATGTTTTAATGTATTATTTTTTATTTCTTTGGACTTATTTTCCCCACCACTACACATAAATGATTAGCTATGTAATGTTTTAACGTGTTATTTTTATTTATTTAAACTTATTTTCCCCACCCACTACACATAAATGATTAGCTATGTAATGTTTTAATGTGTTACTTTTATTTATTTAAACTTATTTTCCCCACCCACTACACATAAATAATTAGCTATGTAATGTTTTAATGTGTTACTTTTATTTATTTAAACTTATTTTCCCCACCACTACACATAAATAATTCAAAAGTTCATATCCAACATCACATTTTAAAACTGTAACGCGGTTAGACTTACAAAAATTTGGCAAAAATTAGAAAACAATCTGAAATCTTTGGTTTTAACGCTTTGTATCACCGCGTTACATATCTGCAACATACATGAAAATTCAATCCTATAATGAGGTGGATTTACCTATAAAATCGAACTAAATTCAGGTAAAGAAAATATTGCAAACTCGGGGGAACCAAGTCTTGGTGCAGCTGCCAATATTATAATGCGTTTAGCAAGAATTGTTCCACGACATAATTGCAGGATATACATTTTTTTTACAACAATCCCCTTGATTGTATATTTGGCCAAGGAGGGATTGAAAAATGTGGTGTGAGACTTTGTTACCATAAAAACAACAATTTCAAAATTTTTCACATGAAGTTTTAAATATATTGGAGTTTTTGTGCTATTTTTCATGCTATTGGAGATGTTCAACAAATGCTTTTTATCAATAAATTTTTAATTTTAAGGTCTTAATTTTTTCATTATTTTCTACACGCTTAATATGATGTATTCTAACATCCGCGTAAATATTTCTTAAATCAGAGTTGTTGAGTTACAAAGGGTTAAAATGCCTACCACTCTGTAAAATATTTTGCAAAAAGCGTAGTAGTTGGCAGGCCAGTACTTGTAAATAATAAAAAAAACTCCTTCAGAGAGGATATTTTATAGAACAAATTGTCGTAGCATGAAACAACTGATGTAACTTGAAATCACCAAGCGTGTATAAGTACTTAATGTTAAATAAACCCCGTTTTTCACACTATCCTCAACGACAAACAGCGAAACAGCTGATTCTAATGTTGGGAAATATTCTATGTTTTTATTCAAATAATGGATTTCCTCTAGATCGTTTAATATACTTTTCGTGACTTATATTCGTCATAAAAATCGATACGTAAAATGGGGAAAATACGGTACAAACGACTTATTTACATATTAATAATAAAAGTAAACAAAAAGTGAATATTTACCCAGCAGGATAAGCTACTGTTCCTGTTTGAGGATCGCTGTCTATGGCTGAATTGTTGCTGGCTGTTATTCCCAATACATGCTGTAATTCTACCTGAAAGTGAAGACGAAGTATAAATAAATTGTTCACAGCTGTAACTTGAATATACGTCCCTATATTGAATATTTCTAAAAGAAGTAAAACCTTCTCAGTGGAAATTTATTTTTGCTATCATAAGATAAAATCTCTCTTATTTTACAAATAAATATATCAATATTATCGGCATTGTTATGTTAACCACATTTGAATATGTTAATTAAAAAAAACGGACATTTTATTTCGTTTAATTTGTACGAATTTTTTTGAAAATGAAATGGTTATTGCTATCTTTTATTTTTAATGTTTATTATGCTTATACTAGGCATGTTTCAATTTGATTTTTTTAATCGAATTAAATTTTATGCAAAAAATAAAAATTCCAAATTTTTAAAAAGTCTATTTATGTTGTTGTTGTTACTTATGCCATTTGCCAACTAGCAACCCTGCTACGGGAACTCAAGCTGACTTTTAATGCAGAAGGTGAGTTTCTTATATTCCAGTGGCACCATCTATGGCCAATAATACGACTACCACCACACACACGTCAGAGCCCGTTCTACAAAATAGGACCCATTCATAATCCATTCATTCATCCACAGATTGTAATTTTGACCAGAACCAGAGAACGATCAATCTATAATTTAGTACCCCCCTAAGATACTTATTTGTTATGGGAACTTGGAGGACTTTGTAACCCTCACGGATTTAACATACACCAGTCACCTTTTAATACCCGGGGACACTTCTCGGCCGGCGGGATTCGAACTCACGATTTCACGAACAAGTGCCCAACGTTATACCAATCTAGCTATTCCGGAACAAATCTATTTATTTTATCCTGAAATAACACCGGGGAGGAAACCTTTTTTTTCTATTGCATGAGACAAATTTAGATATTTTTGCGCCACTGATTTCAAACTTGGAATCAGTTTTTCTCAAGATGATGCAGTTTTTATTTAGTTTAATAATGTATTCCTTAACTGAATTTTCAAAATTCACTCTAATGAATACTAAGTACCCCACTTCTCTTAAGTAGGGAGTAGTGAGAAGAAGGCGATAATACATTTCAGTCTATGATACAATAATTAAGATCATGTTTTTCTATCTTAGTAATATTGTCAAAGGAAACAGACTAGTGTATATATACGTACATAAACCGATACGTTCGTTATAAACTTGTGCATTCAGACAAAATAAGACCTAAACTAAAAATATCGTTTAAAAAAAATTCTGTATCTCTCGAAACAAAACTAATTTCAGATTTAAAATCCCCACTCCCGAATAAAGTTAGATCAAGTACTTAGATAAATGCAACAAAAAAAATTATTCCCCATTGTATAGATATCGTTTGCATCCCAGGGAAAAAAAACTATTCTACTTGATTTTTTATACATAATTATATATTTGCATATTTTATGCTAAATTAATATGTTGTATTTACCTATTTGTGTATTGCTTACTATTAAAATAATGACTCCTCTTTCTTTAAAGTATAAATTGATTGCCCATGTGTTTCATTTTAAACATTTTGCAAAAAAAAAGTAACCGAGTTCTGTTTGCCATTATATATACCGTATAAACGTGTACAATTTCGAATCAGAATTCAAAGCTAAAGCTGTAAATAACAATACATCAGGAATCAAAGCGAAAGTTTTAAATAATCAATGAAAAATAATACTTGATAGACCACGATTTTTCTTTCCAAATATATATAAAGCATGCAGAGACCGCTCTAAGTATTCGCCACCTCGCCAAATGCGATAAAATTGTAAATTTGACGAATAAAATTGCGTTTTGGAGAATGATTTTTTTCTACTGGAAAGAAAAATATGTATTTAACTAGATCTTAAAAATTACGTCAAAATGAATATTTCTAAACAAATCAGTATTTTTTATTCGATTACAGTAATTTTCGGTAGATGCGACGCATAACCAATTAGAATTCGATCCGAATAATATAAGAACAAAGTACCGTAAAATAGTTTTCTGTGGGAAAAAAATTAATCTTAAAAAATGGTTAAGATATCCATTTGGCGAAGATGGTCGAAAATTGGCGAATACTTTTGATATTTGGCTAATTTACTGACTATAATTTGAAATCCTTAGAGCGGGCTTTGAGTATTGTAATAATCTTATCACTAAAACAATATCTTTCCCAAAAAGCAAAAAAAAAAAAAAGGCGTCAGGAAGGTTATAAGAGCTTTGTATTAAGTTCGAATTTGAAACATTTTCGAAAATATGAATGGGAAAGAAGATTTTTTGGATATTAGAAGATCGAATCAATATAATCAAATTCTAACGTGATGTTATAAATCACAAAACATTTGTTTTTATATGATTGAAAGAATATTTTTCAATACGCAAGTTCCAATTACAAAAAAGAATGAAATAATAACCAAAATAATACAGCAAAAAAAATAAAAAATAAGCAAACTGTTATCATGCAATAAATGTGTCAAACTTATTCTTAATGCAAGATTCTTTTTTCCTTTCATTCCATGGTTGCAGTAAAGAAAAGTTGTATTGAAAAGACATTTCCTAACAGAAAATATGGAACATTTCAATTAGACTTATATAAAACATAAACGATTTTCCCAACCCGATTAGTTAAATAACAAATCTTTCGACGATTGGCATGGATTTAAAATAAAAATAGAATGTTAAAAACCTTTTATATAATTGTTTTACCAACAGCAATGAAATGTTTTTGAAATAATACATATCTTTCTTTCTTAAAAATACTAGAATTCAATCAGTGAATGGGGAAAGTAATTATTATTAAAAATAAATCTATTGGGAATCAGACTAAAAGATAATAGAATGGCATTTCGAAAAAGTAAATTATTTAGGTAATGTAGGTTATAATTTAATGATTCTGCTTGAAACGATGTTTATTAATAAGTATAATCATTTGCAGGGATCAGTAAGCTTTTAAATTAATTTTAAAGTCAGAAATTGGCCGATTTCGCTCGAATTATGTTATTTAAAACGTTGTCAACATTTGTATTATATAATAAAGTTGAAAGCATAATTACAATATTCAAAGTAAGGAAGTTAAAAATATAACTATTTAAAATTATTACTAAGCTCCAATTGATTTTAACATATAGGCAGGGATGCCAACTGCTGCGCTCTCTGGAAAAATTATAATAAAGTGGTAGCGAATTAAATAATATAACTTGTAAAATAAGCATAGTTACGTCTACTTTAAAAAAACAGTAACCAAATAATTAATGATTTTCGGTTGCATGTTAAATGATTCTTATGATATTTAGTGGTGGAAAGATTAATTGAAATTATAAATGCTAAACTAAAAGTAACATAAATTTCGTTACCGCTTGGAAATACTATTTTGCAAAGCGGAGGAAGTTGGCATTTTTTTATATAGGTATCATACGTTTTAATTTTGATAAAAATAAAGACTTTTACGTTTTTAAAACTAAAGTGGTAAATTTTAATATTAATTTTTTTTATTTCAATGATACTTCTGTTAGGACAAATTTCGTTTCAAATATTGAATTTTGTTATTTAGAATTTCATACTTTTAAGCAATGTAGTATCTGATATCATTTTACTAATTATTCTTTATCAATAAATAAAGTTCGAAATTTACAATTTTGTGTTTTTAAAACTGAAGTGGCAATTTTCAATGGCAGTTACTTTATGTTACTTTATGTACACTTCAATTTCTTTAACACATCAATTCCATTATCACTAAAAGTTCCCATGCATGCTTCTAATACATTATCCTTTGCCAATTATTGCATGCACTTTTTCTGGATAAAAAAAATAGGGACAAATAATGAACTTTTATACTGTTTCTCAAGATTATTGAGAACTTACCATAAATTATTTTTAAGACTGATATTCGATGATATATTAAATTACACATTGTTAATGCATATTTCAATAAATTAAAAAATTGTTTATTCCATGACCAATATTTTTCACCTACTCGTTTAAATTGCATACTTTTAATCATACGCGTTAAATAAATTAATAAGGACGTTAAATCCTGAGAAACGATTGCAATTATATTTTTTTATAATTTCTCTTTACCCTGCACTTAATCACACCAAAGGAACGCCTTATTTCATAATTGCATCGCAAATTTCACAAAATTAATCCCAAGGCATAATAGTATTTAAATATGCCTAACGCCTCCTCTCTGACTTGTAAGAGCCAACCCACCGGGTCATTATACTTATATTTGTGGGACGAATTATTGTTTAATTCTCTTTCCTATAAAAACACACAAATCTAAAGACAAAATTCTTCAGAAAATAAATATTTTTCGAACATGAGTGCAAATCTTTATGAAAATATTGAAAAATTGTAACTCGTCTCCTACAGCTATCCTACGCACGACAAGTGCGGCGACACGATTTTTTCAATGAACCCACGCGCCATCTTGAGAAATATTTCAATCTACTTCTACATTCAACGCACAATTTCATCAAATAAAAAAAGAATGAAAAGTGAAAGGGCTACTGGCAGAAGAATGTCACGACAGACTTATTAGGCAAATGTTTCATTCTTATAAGACAAAAGCGAAAAGCACGATAAGTTCTGTGCAGAATACATTACGAGTGATAACATTTTATTCAAATTGAATTGTTTCTTTTCTCAGTTGTCACGGTGTACAAAGTCAACGTTTAATAGCAGAGTTTTAACCATGTTAAAAAAAAATTCACACCCAACATTCTTTTGAGGTAGAATGAGCAGTAGATAAATAAAAAATGCTATAGACAATTAATAATTTTAGTATCATTCCGAACTACAGATGCGTAAACGCAACATTTAGCAGTGATGTATTCTGTACTTAAAGGCTACTGGAAGAAGAATATTACAACAGAAGTAGAGTGAATGTTACATTAATAAAAAATGTTACAGCCAATTAATAACTTTAGTACTAATTTAGCTTTTACACCGAATACCAGACTTGGAAGCTTTCTACTTTAACCCATTCCGGATTCTATTGCTAAAACGCAACAGTTTGTAGTGATGACAAAATT